GGGAGGGGGGAGGCATTTGGAAACTGCAAAAATGGCATATAGAATCGTTCTCTTCCCTGCCTTAGACTTTTGGCTGCTGAAAGATCTGAAATCCAGAAGGGCAAATTTGGACAAAAAATGGTAACTTTCCCCACCAGCCATAGTAACAAAGGTGGGAAACATGTCATTGCCTCTGCCACCTTCTTACCCACTCCACCACTGATACCACCAGCATGCCTCACATTGTCTTTCATACCACTGCCAATGGTTTTACTCCTTTCAAGCCTAATTTCTTCTTCAGCCCTACCTTGAATATTCCATTATTTCTCTGATTCAGCAAACCTTTCACAAATCTTCACTCCACCACTCACAATCTCCCCTCTTTCAATCTACAATATTGCCTTTCTATCTTTTCTACTCTTCAAACACTAGCCAGACTCACTTCATACTCCTGAAGTAGTGAATCTTTACAGAAGGTCAAAACTTCCACCAAGTCCTACGATAAACCTATCAGTTGAGTACCACATCTAAAAAAAATAGTAATATATAATTTAAGGTATTTTGCTAACCCACATATATAATTAAATCCATTTAATTATATACCCAGAACATGGGTTCAGTACCCAGAGAAAATATGTTTTACAATCAATAGTAATGTGTGGCCCTCTCATACTACTGATCATGCTTAGCAGCATTTGCTCTCCCCCCACATCAAAGTCTACACTCTACCTGTCTCCAACTTACTATAGCAATAGCACTTAGACTTATAAACTGCTTCACAATGCTTTACAGCCCTCTCTAAGCAGTTTAAAGAATCAGCATATTGACCCCAACAATCTGGGTCCTCATTTTACCGATCTCGGAAGGATGACAGGATAAGTCAATCTTGAGCTAGTGAGAATTGAATTGCTTGCAGTTGGCAGAATTAGCCTGCTATACTGCATTCTAATCATTGTGCCACCACTATTCTTAAAAATCTGTTTTTCTGACAGATGGGAGCAAAATGTATGTTTTAAGTTTTTATTTCCCATAATGTGGTTATTGTTTTCCTGTTTTATTGCCTGGACCATCAGTGCTTTCAACCCTCTTATAAACTGCCTTAAATCATTACTTAATTGAGTCACCCAATAAATTGAATAAAACCAAACATCTGGGATGCCACATGTTGTTGTATCCATGCATGGCTTTGGCCCATAGTTAGATAATTGGGTTTATGACTTGTTTTTCTTTCAAAGAATGACACTTATGGTGTAATGGGCTGACACATAGTAACAATGCAAATTGTCTCCATTTTCATCAATTCCATCTTTTCCACAGAAGTTCGGTTTAGTTTTGGCTTCAGGCTTGAGAGGGTAAATTGCATTGTGGAAGACTAGCAAGGAGTTAGTGTTGTGACCTCTTATTCCCTTTGCAAACAAAACAAATGCCTGTGCAGAAAGGATGAAAGAGTTACTTACCAGAGCTTTGCAGACTGCACAATTTTTATTGTTAGTCCCTCTTGTTTGCTTCTTATCTGTATTCTCCTTGTAAACCATTAAGATAAAGAAGCCAACACTAGTTCACTAATCTAACATCTGCCAAGGGGAGGAGGAACTATGGATGCATAAGAGTAATGTTCTCATAAATAAAAGGTCACTTTCCAGGGCATTGATCTGATATGTCATCAGGTGCTGTTTTGCTAGAGACTCTATCTTCCCTAAAAATATTCTTAGCAGAGATTCCACTGTCTGCAGTTATGATAAAGTTCCTGATAAGATGTACTACCAAGCCATCTCCAGTTTAGATTCCTTTTCTCTTTAGCAAAGGATAAAATGGTGACAAAAATTCTCAAACAAGTTTGAACCTTGGTGTGGTTCCAATGTCCCAACAGAGGGTTAAGCAGCTTTCAATACGTCCATCTGCTGCCACGCTTTGGGTTCCTGGCACGCAGAAGGGACAGGGATAGTAGATCTTTATCTTTTAATTCTCTTAATATTTATTCCATAAAATCCTCAGTGATATTTCACACAGCCTTCAAATCCAATCCTGTTAGCTCCCAACTGCAATTTTGCGCAGATATCATTGAAAAGTAAAGAGTTAATGGGTGAACCCTCTTGCTGTGTGAATGAGCTCGGTAGCTGAATCCTGATAGGCTTAATACTGAAAGGAGCAATTGGACAATGAGACCCTCTTCTAGTGCATTATGGGAATGTGATGTCTTCAGTTGGATTGAACAACTTAGGTGGACTGATGGTGGCTCTTTAATCAGGAGTTGGATTTCTTTTTTCTCCCTAGTTCCAGGAAATTTGGAGATTGTAATACTGACCTATAATTTCCACAATAATTTGAGGAACTGAAAATACAAATGACATCTATAAGATTCTAATTCCTTCTGGTTATTTCTCCCTCTGCAACATCTTTCAACAAGTTATATATCTTTCAACCATAAGAAGAAAAAATCCTGCATGGTCCCAGATTTGGGGAAATATATTCCACGTCCTAAGATACATCTACACTTATTTTAATATTTCTGGTCTTTTAAAACATTTAATCTTTCTACATAAAGCTGGAAACAAGTTATTGAAGTTATATACAGATGGTTATCCTTGACATTTGAGTGCCACCTAGAGGAATGCATATGACACTATCCACCAACAAAGGAGGCACAGGTAGCTTTCACTGATACAAGTAAATAAGTTAAGCACAAACTGTTTCTAGATTAGGAGAGTTGAAAATAATATATTTACCCTAATTGAAGTTGCCATGAGCAATTGCCTCTTGGGAACAAATCATAGAAACTTTGCTTAATTCTATTTTTTTATCAATGAGGGTAGAGGTAGTTTGCAGGTATGAAAATCCCCCCATGGTAATCTGCTTCCCTTTCTTTTTCTTTGCTTTTATCAATCATATTATCCATATCTGGCAGCTTATCTTTTTGTTTTCATGAACTTTCCATTCCATATTAATGGGAAACCAAACAACCGTTTTTCAGCAATCGTGTCACTAAAATCTGGTATGACTTGAGTAAAATTCAGGCACCTGCAGATTGTCCTCCCTGTTCAATCCAATTTAATTAAGAACCAAAAGGGATATGATAACCAGCATGGAGCTACACTAAGCCTTCCCCTCTTTGATAACACCATATTTAGACCATATTTATCACCATTTTTATAAATGCATATGTATACCTTTAGATTGGCATGTGCAAGTTTTACACAAATCTATTTCCTAAGTTCTTTGATTTAATACTGATTTTCCTCTATTTAAATACAAAACTGTCCACTCTTTAAAAAAGATGGGTTGATATAATTTTCAATTCAAATAGCCTTTTTGAAAAAGAAGTAGAGGAATGCAGTTAGCAAAAGCATTTCCTCCACCCTACCATTTTGAATATATAGTTTTGATCTAAAGTTTTACGAAGAAACCAAATTCTATGGAGATCTCATTACCAGGTGTCTCTCTTCACTGTCCAAATGATGGAAAAAAAACCTGACATATGATCACATTTTTACTTCCTGCAACAGGACTTTATTACCCATCATTTTCTTCATTTCAGGTGTAATTGAAAAGCATACACTGAGTGAAAGGAAAGGAAAATAATACAAAATGAGAACAGAGAGGAGAAAAGGGGAAATACCTGATATTTTCTGATCAAAAGAGATATCAGGGAGGCAGGGAGAAAATGGATTCTCTCTTTTTCTCTCTCTTTCATGCATTTGCAATTTGGGGGGAAAGTTCTAGGCACAAAATGACTTGCAGGCAAGAACAATTATTCACAGAAAACCTAGCCAGTTATCAAGCATCAATTTCTCAAAATGTCCTCACCCTTGGTTCCAATCCTGCAAGGTATTTTCAACTTTCCCCATTTACTATCGCAAGAAAGCATAAACACTGGACTCTAGCCTTCCTTCCTCTTTTTCTTTTTTTCATTTTCTAAAAAATCTTTTGGATTTTTCCTGAAGCTAGAAGTATTCTAGAAAATCATAAATTGTGGGAGGTTTTTTTTATTATTTTAAAGTGAGGAGGAAGGTTGACTTGGCACTCCCCAAGCTTATTGTACACTACAGTATTATGTTGTAAAAGGGGGAGACCATTGTATGGAATTATATTTGCTTTATGCATTTAATTTTATCTCCTAAAACAACTAGTTCATGGATGACTGAGACTGCTGCATGCTACAACAGTATCTGGACTTGTGAATCTACAGGAACTGGATGAATCATTCTGCAAGGACCAAGTCATCAGAGTTGGTTACAGGGACAGGTCAGCTGTATGTTTAAGAGATCGGATGTTATTGGATTCCTGAATGAAGGAATGAATGAATGAATGAATGAATGAATGAATGAAAAATGATGGTCATGATACTCCAATAAGATCTGTAGAGTTACAGGTTCCTCAGACCTGCAATCTGTCATTTCAACTATTACTGCCATCATGAAATGATTTTGACAACAGCTGAACACCAGTGTTGACCTTAGAATTCATTCCCAAATTTAGCCATTCATTGCTGCTGTTGGATTGATGTGCTGTATTAGTAAAAGGCTTACAGCTTCATCATTGACAACTCCAGGAGAGGTTAGGACATGGAGCCGGTGGAGAACAGCTGCCAGCTAACACTGAGTCAAATACTGCTATACTATAGCTTAGCACAGTTATGAGCTCAAACACTGTAATTTGCACATCATGGTTTGTGGCTCAGCATTATCTATGAATCCAGCCATTGAATTCTGCTCAATGAATAACAGCTAACATAAACTACTCTTTAGAACATAGATTAGAGAGACAGACAGACAGACAGACAGACAGACAAGAAAGAGCAAACCCAGCTAGTGCAGATATTATCGTGATAGAATCAGATCAGTGAAGCTGTCTTACATATAACCTCATCTTCAATTGCAAGACAGTTGAAACAGATATGGCAAAAGACACTGATTTTTAAAAAGGCAGAGAAGTTATCCAAATGCATTTTAAAGAGCAGTTTGTATTGCTTCTGATTAAGGAAGGAAGGCAGAACCAAGCTGAAAAATGAAGAGGACTCTTACTGCAGCAGGTGAACCTGGCTGGCCTCCTTCTGTTTCTCAGGTACTTCATAGTGGGGAGACATCTTCCCCAAACCGCTATCACTCAACATGCGCTTTCGAATAGCAGGATTCCACCGATCGGACATTCTGGGAACAGAAACATTTGCAAATAGGAAACATGATTGCTTCCAAAAACAACTTCTTTCCCAGTTTTTTTGTTTGTTTGTTTGTTTGATTGATTGATTGATTGATTGATTGATTGATTGGTTCAGTCAATGATTCCCAACATTTCTTGCCCACTTCTACACTATCCTCTTGTTTATTCATCTGCTTCTTGGAGTAATTTCATAAAGTTGTATACAAATTGCTGCACTAATGGTAGACTCAACAACCAAATTAGTGAGGGCTGAGAAAGATGAAAAGCACATATAGATAAGGGACTAATGGACATAAGTAGTCCTTGACTTACAACAGTTCATTTAGTGGCCATTTGAACAGCAGCACTGCAAAAATTGACTTATGATCATTTTTCACACTTACGACTGTCGTAGCAGCCCCAAGGTCATATGATCAAAATTCAGAGGCTTGGCAACTGACTCATATTTATGATGTTTGCACCGTCTGCAACCTTCTGACAAGTAAAGTCAATGGGGAAACCAGATTCACTTAACAACCATGTTACTAACTGAACAACTGCAGTGATTCACTTAACAACTGTGGCAAGAAAGGTCATTAAATGGGGCAAAATTCACTTAACAAATGTCTCCTCGAGCAACAGAAATTTTGGGCTCAATTGTGGTCGTAAGGCGAGGACTGTACTGCTTTTTCGGAAACACACGGTAACTATTTAAATATAAACATAAATGTATCTATAGTGTTAGTTCTGTAGATAAGAATCACATAATTGTATACTCTACTACAGGTTTCTATCATGGTTTACTTAATGCACATTTTAATGCATCTATGTGTAAGGGGTTTTGTGTTTATTTTCCTTTATTTTTTTTATTATTATTTTGTGACTTCCTCTTGGACCTGGTATGCTGTTTTCTACCTTGTGGCATAAATATTTTGAAATGATTGCGCCTATAACAGAGCTCCCCAACCTTTTGAGCACCAGGGACCAGTTCGTGGAGAGAGGTTTTTCTGCGGACCAGAGGGGGCGTGGTTTTGTGTACTGCCTGCATCCCGCGAATGGGGCTTTGCTTGTTTGCATGGACCAGTTTCTGACATGCTGCAGCCTGGTGCCAGTCCACGGACCAGGGGTTGGGGACTCCTAGCCTATAAATATCTAATACCCTCTCGGATACACTTACTAAGTGTGACAAAGGAAAAAAATATTGTTTTCATATGTTTTCCTTATAGTTTTATTTTCACTTTCGAAAGGGCCTCTAATGCAGTCTTCAAAAGGAATACTATTCTGAAGTTTATGCAGGTGGAATAAAGTATTTTCTATCAATTTTCTATGCTACAATTTTCTCTCCAAGCTGCTTTCAATGCTGTAGTTATAGAGTTCCATGCTGGTAATCCTCAAGCTACAACTACTCATTCAGCAACCATTCCAGGTTACAATGGTGCTGAACAAAGGGCATGTCTGATGGATCCTTGGAGTTCCAGCTATTGCAGTGCCCTCCCAGTCCTATCATCACAACTTCTGACATTTCCCGTTGGTTCCCACAAAGTCAATGGGGAAGCTGGCAGGAAGTCGTAAGTCACTCATGCTCCTGCCATTCTTTCACCTATTCATCTGCACTCCCTAGTTTCTACCCACGACACCTGCACAGCCACCCCTGCTCAGTAACACCTGCCTGCAGCATCCGTACACTCTCTTACAGCAACTGCGCACCTGCCCATGCTCAGTAATGCCTGCCTATCCCATCCTTGTATCCTCAGGTGGCGCCTACACATTCACCTATGCTCTGTAAAATCTGCCTGCAACACCCACAGACCCTCCTATGGCACCAAGACCCTAGCATCTGTCCATAAAACCCACACACTATCATGCCACTTGAGCAACTCCAGTGCTTGCCTGTGGCACTTATGCATGCATCCCTCATGACACCCATCTACCTGCAAGTAGCTCTCACCCAAAGCTCTCACCAATGAATCTGGTTGCCTGGGACTCCCACCTCTTTCCACTTAACAATCCATGCAGTTCTGGGATTACAACAGCAACTGGCCTTCCAGAGTCTGTTTAGATAGCAAGATAGGCAGCATATAAATTTAATACATAAATAAACCTGGAACTGCTGGGATCACCATCACTAAGCAATGAGATCATGGGGCATCACACTTTATGACTGCATCACTTAGTGATAGAAATTCCAATTGTTCACATAATTCAGGGACTACCTATTAAGACTTCTTGTGGGTCTAGAATAGTAGCACTTCAAAAGCCAACAAATTCTAACGCTTAATATCCCTCATCATTGGCCATATTTGGGGCACTGGGAATTGAAGTCCAGCAATATCAGAAGCACAATTAAAAACTGCATACAGAAGGGAAGGGAACAGATTAAGATGTCACCCTCCCACTGTATGCTGCAGTGATGACAGACATTGAAGGTATAAATATAGATATGATGTAGGCAATGTAGTGACTTTCAGCTGCTTTGTGCCATTCATCATAGTTACAGCTCAAAGCACCAGAAAAACAGAAGGATCAAATTGGGCAAAAGTTCTTTAGAAAAAGAATATGTTGGAACAGAAACTTCCATGTGATACCCATCTTTAAGGATATAGAAAATTGTGTATGAAAATAAAAGAAGAGAACTTTAAAAAAAATTCAGAAACGCAAGAGTCAGTCTTACCCAGAAGCCTGCTCTACCACCAGATCAGGCATTCCTGGAGGTGTTCCGGCTGGTTGAGCTGCTCCCAATTCTGGATCCAGGATAAAAATCTCATCCTGTGATATTTCTGTCACAAAGTGCAAATGTTCCTGCAACAGTGATATTAAAATAAAAGATCTATTGTTTATTGCAATCAACAGCACAATTCTATTCAGGAATATATATTTAGGAACTGTTATGACAGCAACCCCCAAAATGCACCAGATATACTGGCTAATTATTCTAAAAGCTGTAGTCCCAACACATTTGAGGGCATTTGCAGAAAGCTCTTCTGGAGAAAGGAACTGTGGTCAATGCATGGAGAATGATCAAAATCCTACTCATGGCAGCCCCTTGCTTACAGCCAGCCAACCATTCATGCCCCAAATATCATGTATTTCTGAGAACAGCTGTATTTTTTTCAGCACTGCAGGGTTATGAGTTTGACAATCATTTTCATCTGACAACCACAAGCAGGATGTTTATATAGGAAGATCCTTGGTAAATGGGTTAGCTCCAGTGATTAGGAGATCATCAAAGGAAATCCATCTGCTCAGTGGCTAAGATAAATCTTGATTTCTCAGATTCATTTCCTGTTCTGGAAAACGCAATACTAACTTACTAAAGATATAGATTTATTCATGCAAATTCCACTGAATTCAGTAGGAATTACTTCCCAATAAGCATGCCTAGAATCGTACCATGTAATTTCTTTTGAATTGCAGCAGGTAGAAATAGCTGACCAGGTAAAAATAGCTGAGCTGTTCTGATGTAGCAGACCTTTCTTAAATTGCCTCAAAGGACTAACACAATTTTGCTTTACAGCTGAACAGAAACTAAATGAATTAAATACAAATCAATAAAAGCAAATCCAATCCGAGTGACTTCCATATTTGTAAAACTTTCAGAGAGTGTCCAACCAACACATAAAATGGTATGTTTTTGACAAATGCTGTCACTTTAATTTGATGTGTTTTTAAGCTTTGTGAATATTTTCTTTAGGCCCAACATTATCATAATTTCCAGAGTCACTTTATCTCACAAATAGAGGATTAGGATTTTTGTGGAACTGTAGACACCAAGATAAACTCTAAGATTTTCTTTTTAATGTAGCTATCCCAGGCTCATGAAGATAAGGAAAAAAAGAAAAAGAAGAATCTATGCTATTAAACATCAAACTGATTTAAAGCAAAAAGAGCAAAACTCATTCTTCTTGGTTTAAATCTTCTTTGACCTTGGGTGCCTTGGGCCAATTTTTCACAAGGTGTTTAATTTATACGGCAAAACATGGCTCTAAATTAAAATCACAGTAAGAACAATGCTTTGGAATTTCTCAAATTTTATATTTGTGCTGTTAATATTAATAATTAATGTAATAATTGTTTTAAATATTTAATGTTTAAATATTGACTAATATTAATCACATTGTGGTGTTAATATGTTAGGTTTAATTTTCAGATATTAGACTTGTAAATCAATGCTATCATTTTAATTTATCATTTAAGCAAAATAACTCATAATGATGGGAAGGACACCTGAAGCATCTGTTGCATTTCTACATGGTTACATGAAACAGTCTTACATGCTACAAGTATGCATCATGGCATATAGGAATGACCTTGAGAGATGAAGGAAGAGAATCTACTAATCAATGTGGAGGATCATAGCTGCATAATGAACAGGGGAAGAAACTCAGAAAAACGAAGAAGATAGAATCATAGGGCTGGATGGGACCTCAAAGGTCTTCTAGACCAATCCCCTGCTCATACCATCCTAGTCAAATGGTTGTCCAGTCTATCCTCCCTAACTGGGAAGAGCTGAAATTTTGTGTGGAATGCGGGACCTCTAAGCACTTATTTTTCTTTTTCTAACTGAAAAAAAAGAAGCCTATTTTATTTTATTTTATTTTATTTTAATTTACATTTGACAGTTTTAGAGGCCCTTGAGAATCTCTGGAGAGAAGAAATAGAGACAAGTATATAATAGGAGGAGAATCACATTTGACAAGTCCCATATTTTCTTATTACAACAGTGAACCCAATTCTGTGCAATAAAAAAAAAGAAGTTAAAACGAAAGCAACATCGTCTCTGTACCTGAGATCTGTCGATGCGGTAAAAGCGGTCAGCAGAGGTTGCTGCAAAAATGAGGAAGGAATTATGTGAAAAACTGTGTTTGATCCATCAGAAAAGGAAAAATATCCAAACTACACAGCTAAGCAATACCTCAATTGGGATCAATGAAATTGAGACAAAAGAGCATGAAACTTTTCTCTTCTTCAGACCTCTCCATTAAGCACGATGGCACAAAAGGAAGGGAATGGGAAGAAATTAGAAATACATTCCAAAATTAAGTCAGATGTTAACAGCCATGAGGTTTTCTGCTCAGACTAAGTCTAAATATAAATGAATTTGGTAGTGGTTGGCATTATAAGTATGAGATGGCTGGCTTCATGCAAGTAATTGGAAGTGTAACTGTATCAAAGAATACAGAGATGGCCTTGGAGAAAGTATTCGACAGGCATTAAGTCAACACCAGCTTAGCCCTGGAAAGAGGAGACAATGAGAAAGAAACTCAAGATTGCCCTACCTTGATTCTCTTTGGTATAAGAAGCAGGGCGACAGAAAAAATCTCTGACAGATTTCAAGATTCTTTTATTATGCTCTGCAACAACACAGCAGAGTTCCAGCACTCCTTGTTTGTTTCCTGACTTTGCCTCCCACAAAGGGCTGACAAATTGAAAAGATTTGGCTTTTTGTAAGCCTGCCTGTCAGGGAATTCTCTTCCCAGTTGGCTGCTTCCAGGGCTCCCAACTTTCTGTTCTTAGTTTGTACCTCCTAAAGCTAAATTCCTTTCTCCAGCTCCTCAACAATACTTTTGCATTGGTTTCATCTCAGCTAAACAAATTTTGATAATCACTAGATGGGAGCCAAGACATTTAAAAACCAGAAGATGGCTCCCATCTAATGGTTGATAGATCAAATAGTCAGCCAGCTGACCCTTAGTTTTAGGGAATTTAAAAAAAAGTTCAATTGGTTGACAGTAATTGGGAAAAAAAAGAAATATGCATACAGTTATCAAAGCATTGTGCATGCCCATTTGATTTGCGGGATGGCATTGGGTAGGGCTGGAATCAATATCCTCGGAATGTTGCATATTAAACCTATATGGACCACAATGCAACACAGATCTCATTCGGATGCATGAAATTTAAGGTAGCATATTTTTTTCAGGAAAAGAAAGAAGAAAGCTCCTTCCAACAGCTCTAAAACAAGCTATCAGCCCACAATCTGTTGCTTACTACTATCAAAACTTACAAGCTACTGGATTGGCACCAAAAGGGAGGGGAGCAGAGAAAGAGAGATCAAAAGTTTATCTGAGTGCTTGGAGGCTATATTATATTATTTGATCTTGATGAAGGTATGATCAATAGAAAGAGTTCTGCATTTATTTGAAGGAGTATTTCTGAATAAAACGTTTCAAACTTGCTACATTTCCAAAGCTGAACAATGATCTTAAAAATAAACAACCATCACTCTAAATTTATTCTTGGAAACCACCATACAAATGTTCATGTGGTCAGTCTCTAAAGGTTAAAATTTTATCATGTAACATATCGTGAAAAACATATACAGTTTAATACAGTCCAATGATGGTCATACTTTATGGAACCAAGAACTATAAGCTATAAACAATTAGAAATTTGGATTCTATTTTGAAACTAGCACCCATCACTCTCCTGAACCCATACTTGATAGGGCTGGGGTACAAGCATTAACTTTTATTTTATTTTTAAATCATTTTATTTATTTTATTTTTATTATTCAATGGATGCTTCTTCTGGCAGGGCAGTCAATCTCCTGGGGTTGCTTCTAACTGGAGGATATTCAAACCACCTCTACAACTATTGCTGTTCTGGAAGACTGACAGAACTGTCAGCAAAATAAGTATCAATGTCAAGACCCCATCTCCCAAAAGTCTGCCTAAGTGATTAGGAATAAAAAGCAAAAAAAATCCTGAATTGCAGTTATGATATATTCTTGTGCTATACTGTGGCAACACTATTGTGACTCAAGATCTTTTTTTCCTTTATCCATCCTAAGACTAATTTTCCACCAAAATTATTTTTGACTAGACAAAGAGCCTTTATCCACCACCCTTCATTCCACTTTTGTTTTGGTCCATGTGTGAAGTGTTTTCTCTACTTTATGACCTTTATGACCTTTATGACCTTTATGACACACAAACACACAAAAACCAAACTGTAGGGTTCTTGGCTGACAGATGTACAGGTGGCTGACAGATCTCCTGAGATTTCAATATTCAAGGTTGAAGAGATGTCCACTCTGTCTCACAAATGACCAAAATCCCGACAGAAGATTATTGCCCTCTAACTGGGCAGGGTGGGTACATTTCTGTAAACCTAATGAGTCAATTGGAGTTGAGAAGATCATTACCCCTGGCCAAATTTTTCCTTGAGGTGTTGTTGATTGTCCACGTTGAATGTTTTGTTCTGGGAGAAAAAGGAGAAGGCCACTTCCAAACTGGAACAACTAAAGACTGCTCTAAATTGCCTCATCAACTGATTACAGATGAGATTGAGATTATGTCATGAGAACAGGTCCCTCAGAAATGCTTATAAAAACATCTTGGTGCTGCAGGAAAGATGACATGAGGACGAACCCATTGTAGATACCTTCACTATATCAATCACATGTAGCCCCTGATTTTAAGCAAATAACAATATATAAAAGCTTTAAGATTCTGTATCTATTTGAAACTCTTATTTTTGAAACAATTTTCAGCAAATGTGTGACAGCAAATATTTCTGAATAAAACAAAATTTATTTCTGGGTAAGTATATAAAGAAATGTACAGTCTGCCATTTTCTTGTAAGGACATGGGAGCCAACTTTGATTCTTACCATCTAGGAAGCACCATCTAGGGGATAGTTTCTGAACAGACAATACTCTTGGGAATGAACTTTCCTGGTCCTGGATGGGACAAAAAGAAAAGGCCATTTTCAACAGCAGTTTCATTAAAGCAGCAGTGAACAGAACAATATCACAGCTCGTACTGTAGTTTTAGTAAGGCAAAGCTCTTCCTAGATCTAGTTATTAACCTTTCCAAGAAAGATTGATAAGGACTCCTATCTGAAATTCTGGAGATCCATACAGTACTGAGCCAAGGGGAATAATAGCAGTTTTCAACATTATTCAGGAAAAAACTTTTCTATCAGTTTATATATATTCAGTCAAGGGTGACCAAAAATGATAGACAGGCATCCCTGAACTCACTCAGGGTGGCTTCTGATAACCAGCTGCCCTGTGCAATCACTGACTTATCCAAGTATTGATTTGATTTCCCACTTGATTCGAAGCTGCAAGGCAACTATACTCAGTTTTATCAAAGGGTGGAAATCTATCAAACATGCCATGCCATGATGGATGGCTGCTTGGTTACTTGGACAGCCTACTGTGTTTGCCATATTACTGAGCAAATATCAGCAAGTCTTGCCTCACTTTTAGAAAAAAGTCTGTTTAAAGAGAAAAGATTGTGACTGATTCAACTATCAATTCACAAGAGAAAAATAGCATAAGAGCTACGAAATGTCACTTTATGGCCAATTAGTCCTTTAAAAAAAATCACATTGCTTATTTTCAATCATTCCATCACATATTCTCGGGGCAAAACAATATAAATGTTTAATTTTAATATCTGTCTTCTAGAAACTGCACTGAGATACTTATACAAAAGATAGAGCATTAGCCTATATGGCTATGGTTTGCAGTTCATTATAAATTTCAACTCATTTAATAGCAGCAAGTTGGATGTGCAGAAAGGACCATGGCCAGAAATATGACACTGAATAGCAAATACCATATGGATTGTGATAAGACTCCAGACTATGTCCCTGGCACAGCCTGGTATTCTTGATATACAGTAAACCCATATTTTTTTCTTCAGCCAATTTTGTGGTATCCGAAGCAGAACATCCAGATTCAGCCAGAGTTTTATTCCATACAGCATTAACCTTGCGAACTCTCAAGCTTCCTCCTTCCGTTATATATTCAAGATGGACAATATTTAATATTTATTTGCTACGTATATGTAGGGATGTGGGTCTATACATATGTTGTTCATAGTATGTTTAGGTGTATGTCATGTATGTGTTTCACTTTGAGAGCGGGCAACTAAATTTCATTTTTGATGTGTGCCATTGTGCCCACAGTATAAAAATGACAATAAAGGTTATCTTATCTTATCTTATCTTATCTTATCTTATCTTATCTTATCTTATCTTATCTTATCTTATCTTATCTTAAAATGTGACATGAGTTAGATGTTCCTTGGCTTAAATTCTTTATCTCAAATTTCAAATAAGCACACTGATGCTCATTAGCTTGGTATGTCGGTCTTTAATAGCTTCCCTTTTGTCCCAGTAGGGACACTAAGATTCCTTTTCTTAGCTTCTATCATTGAGCTTGATTTACATTATCCAATAACATTCCCTTTATTACACCTGATAGAATGTAAGTTATGCTTCAGATACCAATTACAGAGACTTAAAGATATGGTAGTTTGATAAACAAAAAAGTCTTTATGTTGCTTTGATAGAAACTATTGCTATTGCAAAATTCTATATCCCTTTCTCAAACAGAATCTACCAAAGATGTGGAATCATAGATGTGGAGGGGGACAATCAGGTTTAACCCCTGCTTGGTGCAGGAATCCAAATTAAAACATTAAAAGATGGCTGTCCAGCTATTGCTTGAAAATAGAGGTCATATCCATTTTGGTAATTAGTGTAACCAACAAACATCTCTGCCTTAACATTAAACTGCTTTTAATACTCTAGAACAGGAGTGTCAAACTGACAGCCCATGGGCCAGATGCGTCACACACAGGCCACACCCACCCCAGCTCTGCAAAGGCAAAAAAGTCACAATACGTCACATGAGGCGATCAAGTTTGACACCCGTGCTCTAGTAGAATCATCCTGTGTCCTCCATTCTACGATGAGAGGAAACAGGTGATCCTCCTTAAAAATGTGAAAATGTCATCACATCCCTTCACAACTGTCTTCACTGAAAACTAAATATTTCTATTCTTTCCGAGCCTCCTTGTCATACGGAGTTTCCAGACATCTTAACACTCTCCTTCCCTGAGATTAACCTTAGCAAGACACTCAGTGGCAAAGAATTACAGAGAAACATCCTTATCTTCAAAATCCAAACAAAACAATGAAGCACAAA